GCTGTTTTAAAGTATAAATTCAATAAACTTAAACTTAATATTATTGACAATACCCTTTAAACCCTGTAATCTATCCACCAGACAGCCATACGCATTTAATTTTCTTTGTTTCCATATTTGTGCTAAATTTGCCAAACATATGCTTGGGAGACGTGTTTTTCTGCATAGGCATGGCTGTGAGCAAAACCAACAACCTTCTGTCCTGGATCAGACCAGCAGTCCAAAAGTGAATCTAGCAGCTCTGAGCCGAGACAAGCGCTGTGCAAGAGGCCACCGTCTCCCTCAGGACACTGGAGTAAAAGCAGCTTACAGCTCCATATTCATTATTTACGTCTCTCTCACTATGATTAATTCACAGGGGGCAGGTGTACTTGGAAATAAGAGGGGAAAAGTAAATCACATTCCTAGAACCTGTCATGTGTAGTGCTGGTTATATGATCTGTGGTTGCATCTTCCAGCACTGGTGTGACTGCGTTGCAGTTAGCATTGTGACAGCTTGTACGCTCTGGTATAACATCACCTCAAACAGGCTATTGTTACACGCTGCACTGTACAATCACTTAGCAGTTGTTTTCCCACAGCTATTCAGAGAGGTAAACTGCACAGTCATGTTTGTGTAAGCAGACAAGAGCAGAGTACTAAAAGTCTGACAGAAATAGATATAAAAGTCTCCCTTTATTCTTGGAAAGACTTCACAGTCTAGTCGACATACGAGACACTATAGTAAAAACATTATTCATTATCAATGGTACTACAGCACCATGAAGAGCACTCTGAGATTCAGATGTCTGAAGCAAACTAGGGAGGAAATGAATTTTTCACATTTTAATGCAAGTTCTTTGTCCTCTTCAGTCAATCAGCTATTCCTCCCTTCTAACACCAGATTTTACTCTGGTTTTCAACCTTGAGGTCAGCAGAGATCCAGGTAGGTTGAGGAACATTTCTTGTACGATTTAAAAATATTTTTTTATATAAATGCTGTCTAGACCTATATCAAATATGCAGGTTTTCTTATGCATGAAAAATTAAGTGAAATGTGACCTGAACACAAAAGGTGACCTCAGCAGGGACTTTGATAAAGGTTAATAACTACACAATAGGGCAGATTCGTTTGATTTATATGGACTAAATGGTTGTGATAGTATATTATGATAGTATGTGACAGTAAAATATAGCTTGTTGAAAAAAAGCATACTAAAATCCAGTAAGAGATTACAAATATTCAAATTACTTTAATTGAGTATAGTTTTTCTCAGGAATTGTAATTTACTTAGAAGTTTTATTAAAATGTGTGCTTTTACTTTCCCTTAAGTACATTTTTAGTGCTGTATTGGTACTTTTACTTCACATTGCTTCCACCTGCAGTCACTACTTTGATTTTTCTTGTCTATGGTGATTGGCTGAGTAGGTCCTGCAATTCCTGTCCAATCAAACTGCACACAGATAATAAAATCACATTATACTGAACAGCCTCAACATGGGCGCTATATAAATGCAGGAAACACTTTGAAAGCATTAAAAATGTATAAAGGAAATGGCCAAAATCTTTACACACAATGACCCAGGTCTGTTTAGACCAGAGATGCCCAATGTAGGGCTCGCGGGTTAAAGTTGGCCCATTGAAACTTTTGATTTGGCCCACTATCCCATATGAAAAGACAGTGAGAAAGATGAAGCGGGTTGGTTTGAATGCCTTTAAAACCAAAAATTTGTTAATAATTTGACAAAACCTATTTTGTTAATTTTTTGCTGAGCTACAAAAAAAAGCTAACTGAAATTAAATGTTTCAATAAAATGTTGAAAATGAATCTGATTTTTGAAAAATGTAAACGATGTCACTCAACAGATAAATAAGATTTTTTTGTATTTACTGTAATGGGTTCATTATTGAAGGTTAAAGAATTATGCTATATCAGTTCATATAATGCAATGTTTTCTAGTTATTTTTAAATATTATGAAATAAATTAGGAAATTACCAAATGGCAACTATATTTACCTTCGACCCACTAGCCTCAAACAAGGTTGGTTTTTGGCCCTTCATAAGAAAATTTTTGGACAACCCTGGTTTAGTTACAGTTACACAATTGCTGAATAGTCTTAAACAATAACTAAATGTACTACAGATTGTTGTTTACACACACCAGCACAAATTGCATATAAACACATTGACCTTTTACAGCATAATACTCACTACTCTTGAATACAACTTGAATATAACTATAAAATGACTACTTTTTACTCATACTTTGAGTAATATTTAGAACAGATACTTTTTTTATTGAACTACAATTTTGGGCAAGTAATGGTACTTTTACTTCAGTATGATTTTTTTTAGTACTCTTTCCACCACTGCTGAAATCTTCAGTGATTGAAAAGTTGCCCATATACTCAAGCCTGTATAATTGTAAAACAGTAGGAAAAAGTGTTTTTGATTAAAGAATGAATTCATTATACTCCAATAGAGTGTATCCGTGTGCCATACTTATTTTGTGTAAGGAATAGGGCACTTGTGTGATGTAATGAAGCTGTTTGGAAGGCACTTTTTCTAATAAAAGATTGCAATTTTATCATTAAGGCTGGGTCACATGACTATAAACAATAAACTTGATCATACTGGCTGTACCCTTCACTAACAAACTTCTGGAAGGGCCTTTTGCTTGCTTTGGTCACATGGAAAATAGGCAAGACAGAAGATTCAGATTACAGATGTGCAGACAATTCTGCAGCAATTGTGTGATGGTTTCATGTCAATATGTACCAAAAACTAATGTTTCCAGCATCTTGGTTAATATACACCAAAAAAAAATTATAATAAAATAAAAAGAAATTAAGGCTGATGGGAGTCGAAACAAATACTAACAAGTTGTAACTAATGAATTATCTGGTTAGTGTATACATTATGTTCCATAATAATCACCTTTGATTTCATAGTTTACCATTTCGAAGCTTGTAATTATTGATTACTTAAATGATTAAGAGTATCCCCATCTTAATTCGAGTAATGAAATATTTAAAGGTTTGAAATATGTGAGAATAAATAGCAGTTCAAATTTTTTTACTAATTTTTTAACCTTTAAGTCATTGTGAAATCAAAAGTGGCAGCATTTACAGTACTTTAATTATTCACATTAAGAAAAGCAATGTGAGCTAACAATCAAGTTAACTAACAGATTTTTTTTTTTTTAAGTCTTGGTTTTCTAGAATGAAAGTCAGAACATTTTCTGGAAAGACATTCCTTCACTGATGATGTCAGTATGGCTGTCTAAACTCCTGTCTAACTATAAGTGAGAGATGGCATGGTGAAAAACTAAACACTACTTGTTATTCTTATTTATTATTATTATAATCCATGTTATTATTATTATTATTATTATTATTTACTGTTATTATTATTTAATCCATGCAAGTTAATCCACTGAAAAAAATGTTTTGGTAATCATAAATGAAAGTCCCTTTCTTACCTTTAGTTTACTATAGGAGAATGATGCACATAAGAAAACCCTGCCCCCTACTAACTATACCATTTTAATTGGAAATACATATACATAGTGAAATATAACCCAAAACCAGAAAAGGTTGGGACAGTATGGAAAACGCAAATAATTCTAATTCTAAAGAAATTCTAAATTTACTTTGAATTGTATTTTATTGCAGACAATATGAACACAAAATATTTCATGTTTTGTCTGGTCAACTTCATTTCATTTGTAAATATACATATGTAACCCATTCCAAAAAAAGTTAAGAGAGGAGCAATTTAGGGCTAGTAATTAGATAAATTGGTTAATATTGATGTGAATTGAAGCAGGTGATACAGACGATGTCAACAGGTGATTGTAATTATGATTTAATACAAAAGAAAGATCCAAAAAGGTCTAGTCCTTTAGGAGCAAAGATGGGCAAAGGGTCGCCAGTTTGCCAACAAATATGTGAGAATTACTAAAATGTTTAAAAACAATGGTCCTCAAATAAAGATAGGAAGACATTTTGAATTTCACCTTAACCAATGCATAACACAATTGAAAGATTCAAGGAATCTGAAGGGATTTTAGTGCGTAAAGGACAAGGGCGCAAGCCTAGGCTGAACGACTGAGAACTCCAATCCCTCATGTGGCACTGCATCAAGAATTGTACTTCATCTATAAGCGATATCACCACATTAGCTCAGGACTAGTTTGGCAAACATTTGTTAAGTACCACAATACGTAGTTACATCCACAAATGCCATGAAAACTGTAATGTGCTAAAATGAAGCCCTTTGTTAGCATTGTCCAGCACAATCAACTTCTCTGGGTTCTGAAGCACCTGGGATGGACCATCACACATGGGAAACATGTACGGTGGTCCGATGAATCAGTATTTTAGGTATTTTTTGGGATAAATGGATGTCGTGTGCTCAGGACCACAGAAGAAAAAGATCATCCAGACTGTTACCAGCAACAAGTCCAAAAGCCAGGGTCTGTCATGGTATGGGGTTGTGTCAGTGTCCTTGGCAAGGTAACTTGCACCATTAATGCTGAAAAGATTTGGGAGAACAATATGCTGCCTTCTTTACGCCCATGAATAATTCAACAAGACAATGCAAAACTACAATCTGCATACATTACAAAGTCTTGGTTGCGGAGGAAGAGGATACAGGTACTTGACTGGTCAGTCCCTAAACGTCTTTTAAATGTTGTGAAAGGGAATGGCAACATTACAAAGTGGTAAATTCTGTACTGTTCCAACTTTTTGGAAATAAATAATGTGCTGTTGTATTGTCTGTGGTGAAATACAAGTCAAAGTAAATTTAGAAATCACTTCTTTCTTTTTTATTTTCGGTTTCCATACTGTCCCAACTGTTTTCGGATTTGGGGATGTACTGTACTTCTGGTTCACAGGGACTTTAAAAATGATCTTCTTAAAAATCTAATGAAGCTCATATTACATAACCTTCTTAAAGAAGCTATATTTTCTTTTCATTAACCTGTCCATGTAATTGTTGTCATGTTTTGCTGACCTTTGCAATGTCTTGACCATCGATGAGGATACAGCCACTCTGTACATCATAAAACCGGAAAAGCAAGCGGATAATGGTGCTTTTTCCTGATCCAGACGGACCAACCTGTTAAAGACATTAAAGAAGATGAACATCTTGCTCATTTACACACACACACACTGTATTTTTTTATTTTACTTCCAGGACACTATATTCATAGGTATGAAATTCAGATTTAATTTTACCAGAGCAAATGTTTGCCCGGGCATCACTGTGAATGATACGTCACTGAGAATCTCTTTCCTGTAAAGAATCAAACAATCAATCCATTTAAAAAAAATAATAAAGATGACTTTATTTTATATAACTTTAAACATGTTTCTTCAGAATCATGATTGTCAAAAGTACTGTTCTCGAATAACAAGCTGATACCACAAAAAGAAAATAAGGTTGCCTTCACTGACATTAGCATAACTTACCCAGCAGTGTAACTAAAGCACACATTCTTGAAATCAACTCTTCCTTTAGTGAAAGACAGGTCTCCTGCGTTCACAGTATCTTTGACCTACAGAAGAGGGGAAATTGGCATTTAGGACAGGAGATCGGGGTATACATAACAGAAGGCACACATACCAGCTGGGCACTGGGTTGACAGTGAATCAGAAGAATACATTACAACTGAGTCCATAGAAAAAAAAAATGGTGGCTTCTGTCTGGTCAAGTTTAAGAATCAGTTTGCAAATGAGCTACGACAGTTTGTGAATAAATGAAAAGAAATGTGAAGATCAAATACGGGTTTTAGTAAGGTTATTTGCATATGAATAGAATCTAAAGGGACTGGGAGTGTCTGGGAGTGACTGGCTGTTGGTTGTGTGATTTTGGGGTGAGGGTTCCCAAAGGATATGAAATCTTGAGGTCATGACTATAAATCAACACTCACTGGCCCACAAGATCAATGCTGGCACATCCAGAAGGGGCAAATTGTGGATTTTAGGAATCAACTAGACAACTGCAGAAGATACACAGGGGGGAAAAGTAATGCACTGGAATTTAAAACCACACTCTGGGTGAATGGATCTAATGTATAACTATTAAAGTTAAATTTAATTATTTAATTAAGGAATTTAAGGAAAAACTAGATCAGACAATTATTTTTTTTCTGTATGAACTAGTTGACTCAAAACCTAAAGTTTTAATGGACTCACCTCTTTTTCCTCTGTTAGCAGATCAAACATGCTCTCCATGTCAACAAATGCACTTTGTATCATTCTGTCAAATACAATAGTGACATTAAATAAGCCAAGGGCAAATTTAAAAAAAAAGCATGCACGTGTTGTAAAGGCACAGATCTCTTTTGTGAGCAGCATTTGCATTTCAAGTAACACATTTGAAAACAATGTGTTTTTGCTTCCACTCAAAAGTGCACATTTATAGTGCAACAGAGGCCAGCTAGCAAAGTGCTATGCAGGTAAACCTCACTCATCTGACCTGAAAAAGTGCTCTAGTGACAGACAGATGCTCTACGGGATATGGTCTTAAGCCTCCTTGTTAGAGCAACCGACTCCCATGCAAAGAATCGCTGGTTCGATCCCAGCTCAAACCGGGTTATGAGCAGTAGGACCAGTGGATTACATGTGATCCACGAGCCCCCCCATGTCCTACTGCACCCAGCCCGGTCTGAGCTGGGATCTAACCGGCAATACTTTGCATAGGAATTGGTTGCTCTAACAAGGAGGCTAAAGACCATGGCCTCTAGAGCATCTTTTAAGGTCAAAGGAAAGAGGTTTTACCTGCATGGCACTTTGCTAGCTGGCCTCAATAGTATGGTGTAATAGTATGGTGTAAAAATGGTCCATGGAGGATTTGAAACTGAAATTCACTTGAACATTTGAGATTCATACTGCATCTTGTTAAAATGGCATATCAGAAGAACCCATTTAAAAAAATGCACAGGGAAATTGTCAACACCCTATATTGTCATTTTCTAGTCTTACCTATAATATGTGCCAAACCAATTGAGTGGCGTGTAGAGCTGAACAATGTAGGTTCCGAAGAGAACATAGTCACCAACCTATGAGAACACCAGAAGAGCGTGAACAAAAATACCCCTCCAGACCAATAAGAAGTAGATTTTACAGTATGAGTGGAGATTACTATACTTGAAACTTGTCCACAGTAACATAGTATGCACAAAGCAATGATCCAGCCAAAAGTCCTAATCCAATAATCAGATTCTGTGTTTGGTTAAGAAGGGCCAGGGAGGCATTGGTCTTCCATTCACATGCCTAAGCAAAAAAAAAAAAAAAAAACTCAAATCAGCATCTCATATTAATTGGATTTGCTCAAGAAGTGTAATCCTGTTAAATGATTACATCACCTGATATTTCAGGATAGCATCCTCAAAGCGCCTGACTTCAAAACCCTCTGAATTATAGTACTTAACCTGCATGGAGAAATGCATTTTTGCAGGGTTAAGTGTTAACAAAATTACATGACCCAGGGTTTGTCAGCATTTATGTTTTTTTATATTATCGGTTTGGGCAAATTTTACAACCATTTAGAACATTTTCAAAACTCTTAGTACTTATAAACACAACATATCTTCAAATGTGCACTTTTTAAAAAACAGGTCAGCATATTTACAATTGTAAATTGTACACAATAAATGTTTTATCTACATAAAAGTTTAATCTATATATCTCTATACATTTAATTGGGACCTCTTACTCAAATGAATACATTTGTCTTTCATTTAATTAAACTGATTTTTATGTCTAATCAATGAATCGATAATTATGTTCACAGATTTTCAACTTTCGTAAGTTACTAATAGCTGCTAGAGCTTTCAAATCAAGAAATACCAAATAATACATTAAATACTGTTTTGCTTGTCCAAGTAATTTACTTGATGTGTTCTTTGATCACATTTTCATATGGTATAAACAACTTTTTTCAATGACACTTATGTCAGTTTGTATGAAAGTGTAACATTTGAGGTAATGGCTAAGCATAAAGTTTTACATTACAATAACATTCATTCAGCATCAAGGGTAATCTAAGACCTTAAAATGTGTTCTAGTGAAAGAACTGATTGTTAAATGTTGTGTTGAAAAAATATCGTACTGTTTTGGTTATTAAACTAAATGTATGATATTTGGTGATTAAATCACATTTACTCACTACATATCACAATGATCTTGTGTTCTGAGAGGATAATTATGTGGCATGAAAGTATTGAAATCAATGAATAATGAAATCAGGATATCAAGATTTAAAAGAATGCCTGATGCTTTTGCAAGAGTGATCAGTTTAAATGTTTTGTATCAATACATTCAAAAATGTACACCTTACTTATGAAAATAGTGCTAAATGAAAAAACTGTTGGTGCTTACAGTTTCAAAGTTGAGAAGCGAGTCCACAGCTTTTGACTTTGCATTGTTGTCTTGCGTATTCATTTCTCGCCTGTATTTGGTCCTCCATTCAGTGATGATGATTGTAAGAGCTGAAAACAAAAGTCAATATTTACTAGAAATCATAATGTGCCTGTTGACTGTCATGCAAAAAAACATTCATTATGTAAACAGTTCCAATTTAATTGTGCCAATAAATAAAGCATCAAATGCATGCATTTGTACCTTTGTTGAGATAACTACCATGTACAGACATACTACTATCGAAAGATGTAAATAAAACATAATAAAATGAGTTTTAAAAGCTATAAAATGAAACCCTCAGTTTGGTGGGGAGTTGTCATTAAGCAAAAATGAAAATCTTTGGATTTGTTTGATTAGGCTATGTAGGCTATTTTTAAAATTTATATTTTATAAGAACTATTAATAACTGTAATTTTCTAAATGGAAAAAGGTTGGTTTGTTGGTTGCACACTTAGGGCCCTTTCATACACCCAGCGCAATAAGACACAAGACGTGTTTGGTGCAATTTATTGCACAACCCTTACACAGGGTACCCCCAGGATCATCCAAATGAAATTCAAGGCTTTTAAGACTTTTTTTTAAAACCATTTCAAATAAAATTTAATGCCAACTTCGTACCCATTCTGACAGAAGTATGAGGGGAAAAATGTCAAAAGCTGTATAAAGTTTGAACCCTAGAAAATAATTATGTATTTGACTGCTTGAATTAAATAAAACAATTTATTTCAATTTTCAGTTATATTTAATACATACGCAAAAGTGGGGTCGCCCACCCAGTAGCGAATATGAAGATCCAACTGAAGGTCAAACATGACCACAAACCCCTTGGGCTCATTCACCTGGTCAGCCAGTTCTTTAGTCATAAAAGGAGACTATCCAAATTAAGTAACACATGCAGTTTTGTTACTTCCACACAAGAATGTAGCTGTAATCTCAGAGTCAGGAAACGTGGTTTTAAAAACCTCTGTAATGTTCTCATTCGATGTGAAAAAGTGGTGCTCAGAGATTGTTATAAGGACCCACATCACATCTGCCTGCAGAGTTGGTGTTGAGCCACAGTAGATATGGTCACCTCCACTAACCATAGTAATGGGTGCACACGCTTTCGCGCTTTCTGCTATTACTGTATGTGGAGCATGAGGTGCACTCAACATTACACTGCATACATTTTTAATTAGACTACATTAGTAACAGTTAATTTTGTTATGGTACGAACTTAACACTAACAAAGGTAAAATAAATGAATAAATTAAGACCTTTGTAACGAAATCCAAAACTTTATATAACAAATTCAAGGCTATTAAGGCCTTAATTTGAGATGATCAAATTTAAGACTTTTTCAATGCTTTTAAGACTCCGCGGGTACTCTGCAATACACAAATATCTTTAAATATGAAAACAATTATTATTTTAAACATAAATAGAAAAACTACTGCCTCCATGCCTTCATCTCAGGGCACCTTCTTCGGTTTATTTATGACAGTTTGCTTTTGTATAATGTTATTATTATTACTATTATTTATTATATGCATATTTATAGTTGTTTTAATAAATACAAGCTTAGATGCGTCCACCTATCGGGTTTTGTAGACGCATCACTATAGGAATAGGACAAGGGTTTGGAAATAACTCAGTTTTTTGACCACACTTTGTTGTTATTATTAATTTATAATCATTAATTATAAATTAACAATTTAATCATTAATTAATCATTTGCTGCAAATTAGAACTGAAAAAGGTTTTATTGTTCTTTATTCTCGCGCTGCAGATGGTCTTTTTAAAGCCTGGTTTATACTTCTGCGTCAAGTGACTGGCATAACTCACGGCGTATGCAACGCGCATAGCTGTACATTTATACTTCTGCGCACTGTCTCTGTTGGTCTGCATTAACACTTCCGAAACGCTAGTTGGCAGTGAGGTGTAAATGTTCCTCTGTGTCGAGTTTCTTCGCTGTTGTTTTGCTTTTCCTGAACACTTCCGGGATGTACAAGTGGCTCAAACTCGCTCATTTTGAGGCAGGAACCGGCAGACGTGCAACAACTTTAACTATGAGGTAAACACAAAACAAAACTTTCCATCTGGAGCTCCTTCACGGGACTCCACACTTGTAAACAATCGCTCCATCAGGCTCGCACCATTCACGCGGCTTTCGGTCCTGCCCAGACTCGTCAGCGCTACCATGCCGACCAATCACAGAGCTAACGCTACGCGTCGTTGTGACGTGTAGTTGCATTTTTTGAGAGGTGCACGTCAGCGACGTCAACGGCCACGGCGAAGGGCTATGCGTCAGCGCCATAGCATATGCTGTCGTTTGACGCAGAAGTATAAATCAGCCTTAACTGTATTCTCGCTAGTGAAGTGTTCAGTTTTTCCTTTTACAAAGTCCCCCATGTAATAGCAATTGCGCCATGGTGCTACGCAAATGACTCATGAAGGGAATGGGAGATTAGACTCGCGTTAACGTCCCGAGAGGTAAAAAAAAAAATACGTGGCACATTTATGCAGCCAAACATAATTTTTTTAAAATAATATTTTTGAATTGTTTAACTGACACCAATAATCAGTTAAAAGCACCCATAGATATATACATTAGATGTCGCCTAGCCTATTGTTGTCTATTGGACGGAATGAGTCAATAGCGCCGCCATCTTGCTACAGGGTAGCGCTCCTTTGAAATGAATGCGGGATCAAGGTACATTGGAGGACTGTGGCCATCCAAAGCCAGAGATATACACATATACACATATATCTATGATCGGGAGTTTTCCTGGATGTTAGTATGTAATTTTTTTCTAATTACAAAAATTAAAATTTTACATCACTTTTCTACATTGATGGATCAGTGACCGCACGGGCATTCCTGACAAAAAGCTTGTGTTTCTGTGTACAGAAATGTACTATTCACCCTCCCTGTTAAATTTGATCTAATCATGTCCTGAAACACACCTCCTCTCCTGCTTTCACTTCTCATACTGACAGAGGGAGCGATTCATGAATCCCCCGAACGACTCTTTCACTAACGTTAGCCGGCAATAATACAAGTTTCTGGCAGCGCAGCATCTCGTTGTCATATTTCTTTTGCATTGTTTGCTGATTTTATTCACCAAAACTAGCATAAGCCGAGTGTTTAGTGCGAGTTGGAGCTGCTTTGCCGTATGGTGAATGCAATAAGTGACTGTTATCATTAATAACGTTACCTGATTAGCACAAAAGTTCAGAACATACAAAAACAGAAAAAACGTATTATTACCTATGAAATGTTCTGCCTTTGTGCTTTGTTTGCTCGTTACTACACCCGTAGACAGCGCTAAAGTCCCGCATCTTCACGTAATAACACTGTCTTGACTGGTGCGGTTGAATGACACTTGTCCTTGGAGCACTGTTCCAATGTGGCGGCGCTATTGACGCATGCTCAGGGTCCCTATGCGATATCTAGTGTATATATCTATGAAAAGCACCCTTTCGGTTAACAATTACTCGGTTATTATGAACATCCCTAAAAGTAACACAAAAGCTTTTGTTGTGATGGCTTTTTGTCATTTGTTACAGTGTATTTGTGCTGCACTTACTGAGGTAGAGAAACATGCAAATGAAGACAATGAGGCCAAACCAGGCACTGAAGTACGTCACAAAGTAGATGATGGCAATGACAATGTCAGCAATAGTGGGTACAATGCTGAACACAATATAGCTGCAACCCAAACCAAAAAAAAAAACCTCAAACATTTCATTAAGAAAAAGATTTAAACATTTACATTGTAGAAAACAGCATGTAGGGTAAAATCTGTAAGTAATCAGACCTTAACAAGTTGTTGACTGAAGATGTCCCACGGTCAATGCTGCGCAGGACATCTCCGGTGCGGCGACCCAGGTGCCAGCGAAGAGACAAGCCATGCAGATGAGCGAACAGACGCACCTGCACCACACGGCTGGTGTACTGCTGCACATGAGTCCATAGGAAGCTGCGCAAGTTACTGACAAACCCCGATGTCCCTGAGAGAAGTGAGACAGATGATGATTTGCACAAGGTGTGACATTTGAAAAAGAGCTTATCCTTTATTTTTCTAAAAATACCACTAAAAATTAAGCCTCACCTACCCCTCCGCCCTGGAAGAACTTAAGGAGGACGTAAACACAGACTGTGATGGCCAGGGTTCTCCAGTTCTCCATTGCTGACAGCTGATTTACTGGAATAACATGATTGCAGAAACAAAGAAGAGAAAATGAGAGTGCACCAAAACTTGTGCTGGATTAGCTAAACATGATTTGAAATATTTAATGCTTATTAAGGCTGTTTACTTAAAAACAGTAAGATCTGTGATATAGTCAAACAAAAATTTCAAGTAAACAAATTTTGGTTTTTATATTTTAAAATCAAATGCATCCCTGTGACATTAAAAAGAGCTGCGATGCTTATAGTGACAGTTAACCTAAAAATGAAACATGATTTAATTGGACCAGCTTTAGCTTTGAAAATGAAAATTATGAAAAGTAATGGCTGTGACATCATTTCAAAATGCTTCTGAAATTATATAACTTTATATCTCAGTCCAAGGTTGCATTCATTTTTTCTTTAGAGCATCCCAAATATGTTCAATAGGGTTAAGGTCTGGACTCTGTGTTGATCAATTCATATGTAAAAATGTATATGTCTTTTGATTAACCTGGTCATTCAGTACAGTATATTCAGGTAGTCAGCTGAATAACGTGGTTATTTAGCATACTCGGGAAGTCAGCTGACATTCTTTGGGAACATAACATTGCTGAATCTAGACCTGAAACCCTGCAGGATCCTCAGACCACAGCACTGCCCCTACAGGCTTGTATGGTAGGCTATATGTATGATTGGTGCATCACTACATCAGCCTCTCTTTTTACCCTGATGTGCCTATCATTCTGAAACAGTGTAAATCTGGTCTCATTAGACCACTTGACCTTCTTCCTTTGCTCCAGAAGCGTTATTTTTCTGATTAGCCTCACTGATTAGAGGTTTTCTTAAGGCTACACACCTGTTTAATTCCAATTCCTTGAGCTCCCTTGATGTTAATTTCACTATCAAACATAGCCACAAGGGCTACTATTTTTTTTATGATTTGATTTCATCAGACATTTAAGTTGATTGCTGATCTGGATTAATCAAGATCTTTTTTCTGACCACTTTACTCTCTCAAAGATCATGGTTCCCTATTATCCTTATTGCTTTTAATAATGTGTTAAACAATTCTTAACCCTATTTTTAGTAGTTTTAGCAATCTTGTCTTTGCTGGACACCTGCCTGTAATTTGACATATGAAGATCAGTGGACATAGAATGAGTCTTGCAACATGGTTATTACAGAAATGAGAACTTCTGCATCAGTTACATGTAAACAACTTGTTACCAGCTGAAACCTAACAATTCATGCAGTAATTATTCAATGAAAAGCTCTTAGATAGATAATGTAAATCCAGGTGGTTACAGCTTTTGAACAGGCTTTTTTACTTTTAATTTGCACAATCTAGATTTTACAAAGTAGAACATGAAGTAAATAATGAAAAAAACTGAAACTGTGGTCTTAGTGATTTATAAAAAGCTAGTTTAAGGCTACCAGCAATTTAAGAGTCAGCCATACACATACAAGCAAATCAAACGTAATACTTAAATCTAGAGCTGCACCACACTGGAAAAACCTAGCATTGCGACAAATAAATACTTATTGTGATCATCCTGTAGGGGAGTGCATTTGCATAATATATTATAAACATCTATTCTACAAGCATTAATAAATTCAACAAATAAAAATATACCAATTAAATAAACAGTGTTTTATTGACTGAAATAAAATAAAACAGCATTTTCTGAGGAGTCTACCTGTATTTAAGTATAGAGTAATTGAGTAAAGAAAATGTAAAATACCGCCTTCGTTGTATAAATAATTAAATAAAGTGACTCATGATTAATTTTAAAGTTACAAATACTACAATTTTTTAAATCCTTAAAAACTACTTGTGAAATTATCCAATTATAATCCAGACGATGTGACTATTGACGATGTGACTATTGCAAATATTATTGATGCTGAAATGATATATTGTGCAGCCCTACTTAAAACTAAAACTTTACTTCCTGAAGCAGCAGTTTATATATACATACATACATACATACATACATACATGCATGCATACATGCATACATACATACATAGACGCATACATACATACATACATACATACATACATGTCTATATATATATGCACACACAGTTGAAGTCAGAATTATTAGCCCCCTTCGATTTTTTCTTTTTTTCAATATTTCCCTAATGATGTTCAACAGAGCAGGGACATTTTCACAGTTTGGCTGATAATATTTTTCTTCTTCTGCAGAAAGTCTTATTTGTTTTATTTCGGTTAGATTATTGGTAAAATTATTAGCCCTTTTAAGCTATTTTTTTTTATCTACAAACCATTGTTATACAATAACTTGCCTAAAAACCATAACCTGTCTAGTTAACCTAATTAACCTAGTTAAGCCTTTAAATGTCACTTTAAGCGGTATAGAAGTGTCTCGAAAAAATCTAGTAAAATATAATTTACTGTCATCATGGCAAAGACGAAATAAATCAATTATTAAAAATAAGTTATTAAAACTATTATGTTCAGAAATGTGAAGAAAAAAATCTTCTCTCTGTTAAACAGAAATTGGGGAAAAAATAAACAGGGGGGCTAATAATTTTGACTGATATAAAAACTTTTTTGACATTATAGATGTGTTTATAGTTCGTTCTGCTCGATGTAATGCCAACATTTGGGCCTTTTTAATTGAACGATTATCCCTAAGGCTGTCAAAGAAAGAACATACTGCAAACACATTTTACTGCTGTTTTCCCAATAACGAGTTTACACAAAGCATCATCCCTTTAATCACACATGCACAATAAAACTTTACCATCCTGAGTCATGCATCATCACATGCCTTCAGTTCACGCAACCAAAATTTAACAGCTGCTCAAAACTGCAATCTCACTAACTTTCAATGGAAATTCACAACAACAACAAAAACACTTGAAAAGGATGCAGTCTGAGCCAGCAGCCACAGCTTAATGTATCCAAAGAGCGAACACTTTGGTCTGTCCTGGGAGCCGAGAAAGATCCTCAATCCGATTCATTTACATTCATGGCCGTTTTGATTGTGCACTCAGAATCAAATGAGGAAAGAAAAGGTGAAGGGCTGAAGCAAGAAAAGAAATCAAAACAATACAAGAAAACAGCCAGGGCAAAAGCAAGAACTCTCTTCCTCTCTCTTGAGCAGGGGGCGTAGAAGTGGATGGTGAGAGAGCTGATTTTTATCCTTGGCATTGGGGCAAAGAGAGCGGTGGACAAAAAGGCCCTTGTACCAGCGTGTTAACTCGGCTAAAAGCCCCTAATGCCCCCTAATCGTGACTGGCAGGGTTGGTGACCTCCCCTATTACCCCTCTCAATCTCTCTCTGCCACACAAAAGCTCACTTTTCTCCCAGCGCGGCTTTCATGTGCCTCCAAATGCAAAACTGTAACTCGTCTCTGATTATAAAAGCACACACACATCCCTTACTTGAAGAACAGATCAAATGAGCAACGTACAATTAAAGAACGAGAATGATAAGAGAGAGACTGAATAATGAATCAAAACACGGAATTTGAAAAATGGGGGTGAAGGTAGGGGAAAAAAAAGAGGCTAAGAAAAATGGGTGGAAACAAAGTATTGAGCCGTAGAACGGTTTAGCATAGTTGGGTTTTGTCCCACGTTTCTTTTGTAAAAGTTTTGATACTTTGCGGCTTATGCGAACCAAAGGCTTTGACTTCTTAAAGAAGTGAGGTTTTTGGGGGCTGTTCGCTCACCCAGCTGGCCCGTTACAACAAGAGTCTGAAATCTGGAGAGAGGAGAAATCTGACTTCACTAGCATATGTAGCCTTCCACATATATAGTTGAAGTCAAAATTATTGGCTCTCCTGGGATTTTTTTTTTTTATATATACAGTTGAAGTCAGAATTATTAGCCCCCCTGAATTATTACACCTCTTATTTATTTTTCCCTCAATTTCTGTTTAATAGAAAGCAGATTTTTTTCAACACATTTCTAAACATAATATTTTAATAACTCATTTCTAATAACGGATTTATTTTATCTTTACCACGATGACTGTAAATAATATTTTACTAGATGTTTTTCAAGACACTACTATACAGCTTAAAGTGACATTTAAAGGCTTAACTGGGTTAATTAGGTTAACTAGGCAGGTTAGGGTAATTAGGCAAGTTATTGTATAACAATGTTTTGTTCCGTAGATTATCAAGAAAAAATATAGCTTAAAGGGGCTAATAATTTTGTCCCTAAAATGGTGTTTAAAAAATCAAAAACTGCTTTTATTCTAGCCGAAATGAAATAAGTAAGATTTTCTCCAGAAGAAAAAATATAATCAGAAATACTGTGAAAATTTCCTTGCTTTGTTAAACATATTTTGGAAAATATTTTAAAAAGAAGAAAAAAATTCGAAGGGGGCTAATAATTCTGACTTCAACTGTATGTATAAATATATAAATAAATATATATATATATATATAAGGTTTTTAAGAGAGCAAGGAATTTTTCACAGTATTTCCTATAATAGTTTTTTCTTCTGGAGAAAGTCTTTTTAAAGCCAACTTAAGGTCAATATTATTAGCCCCCATAAGCAATTTTTTTTGATTGTCTACAGAACAAACCACTGTTATATAATAACTTGTCTAATTACACTAGCTTCACTTAATTAACCTAGCTAAACTTATAAATGGCACTTTAAACTGAATACTAGCATCCTGATAAATATCTTGTAAAAGTATTAAATGCGGTCTTCGTGGCAAAGATAAAAGAAATACACTATTATTAATTATTAAATCAATAATTATTAGATATTAAATCTTTATGTTTAGACATTTGTTGAAATTCCATGATCGACCATTCAGGAGAGCTAATAGTTCTGGCTTCAATCGTACTTGTTTCAAAGAGCCTTTGCTTAAATGATTTAGCTGTAGGTAAATAAGTAAATCAGATTCTTCTGAACTTTAAAGGCCTCAGAACAGTAAAAATCCAACTATTTCTTCATTAGTGGATGAAAACTGATCATAAAACACCTCATTTCAGCAGTTCAAGTCTTCTCAGGTGGCAAGAGAATTTGTTGAAAGATGCTGTCCTCTACTGGTGACGTATGACAATGCAAAAAATAGCTTTCAGCTTTGGATAACATTTACTAGTATGAAGCTGTGACAGGAGCAATTAACATTTTATTTAGTTTATTCAGTTTAATTCATTCATTAATTTTCTTTTAGCTTAGTTCCTTTATTAATCTGGGGTCACCACAGCGGAATGAACCGCCAACTCATCCAGCGTTTCATATGTCATATGAGTACCATATGTTTTACGCAGCGGATGCCCTTCCAGCTACAACACATCACTGGGAATCATCCATACACACTCATACACTACAGACAATTAGCTTACCCAATAGCGCATGTCTTTGGACCCGGAGGAAACCCACGCAAACACAGGGAGAACATGCATTGCAAACTCCACACAGAAATGCCAACTGACAAAAGCACAGCAAAAACCACTGCACCACCATGACGCCCTATTCAGTTTTAATGTAAACATTTTTTTCTTTTATTTATCATTATTATTAATATTGTAAATTATAATTAATCCATTTATGTAATTTACTACTTGAATGAACTTATATGATCTTAAAAGTTTCAGGTAAAAGTTGTTCTTTTTTGTTTTTGAAAGAAATAAATAGGTTTATTCAGCACTGAATGGGTCAATAGGGGGAATAAAGACATTGATGCTGTAATAGAACTCAATTCAATTAAATCATGTCATTTTTATTTAAACAAATGTGTAATTGTTTTTGTGAAAATAATGAACTGCACAAATCTTTTTTGTTTTTCAATTAATAACAGTATATAATCATTAAAAGGTTTCCTGAGCATCAAATCAACTTGATTTCTAAATCATCTATCATGTGGACTCAATGTTGGTGTACTGATGCTAAGAATTCAGCTTTCTCATCACAGGAATATATATATATATATATATATATATATATATATATATATATATATATATATATATATATATATATATATATATATATATATTTAAATATATTACATCATAATTAATTTATGCTGTAAATACTCAAGATACTCGGATATGTATAGAACTGAAGGGTGGGTAAACGGTGGCAGAATTTCTATTTTCAGGTGAACTGCCCATTTAAAAACTATTAATAACTAGAGCTTAACATGCTGTAATAAATAAAGGTAGAAATGTTGAAAATTGGGGCAGCATGGTGGTGTAGTGAGTAGAATAATCGCCTCACAGCAAGAAGGTTGCTGTTTCGAGCCTAGGCTGGGTCAGTTGGTGTTTCTGTGTGGAGTTTGCATGTTCTCACCGTTTTCACGTGGGTTTTCTCTAGGTGGTCTGGTTTCCCCCACAAGTCCAAAGACATGTGGTATAGGTGAATTGGGTAAGCTAAATTGTCTGCAGTGTATGCGTGTTAATGAGAGTGAATGGGTGTTTCCCAGTGATGGGTTGCAGCTGAAAGGGCATCCGCTGCGTAAAACATATGCTGGATAAGTTGGCGGTTCATTCCACTGTGGCAACCCCAAATTAATAAAGGGAGTGAGGTGAAAAGAAAATGAATCAATGATCGTTGAAAATTGGAATTTTGTTAACATTCAACAAAATATACATTAGTAAGAAATCATACAAGCACTAAACGTTTAAACAGTAGCATACTTGGACTGAGAGCATTTTGCTTCCTGAGGTGATGAGATTTTACATTAAAAAAAAAACTATTTTAGTTGCATATTAATGAAATTCAACCTCTGAAACCTCATAATTAACATTTTATAAGATAAAACAGTAAGAAAAACATAGAAATTCAGTTTTTAGGAATTTTGTCAATTTGGAACTTCTGACAGAGTTGAGGAGCAGTCTTCTTACCTATATTCCTGCTGTAAATGGGTACAAACACATTGATGACCCGCTCAAGACCCAGCAGTCCAACACACAGAATCACTAGAACCTGCAGCCACACACTTCCCCGGGGCCACATGTATGGCACCAGCAGGCACACTTTCCTCCTGAAGTCTTGCCAAGCTGACCTTCTAGAGATCTGTTCCACGTTGCCATCTCTTTCATGCTAAATTATATACACATTTTAGGAACACATAGAGGGTAAATTCATTGACAGTGATTAGAAGTGAAGTGGTTTATTATGCATTGATTGTTGTTCTTACCTCCACAGTCAGTGCAAATGATGCTTTCTCAGTTTCGTTTCCCAAGGCATTTTGTTTTGTGCGTTTTTTGGAGTTCTTGTTTACCATTGTTTAACTTCGTATGGACATTTACGCCCTCAAAAACAGAGTCTGAATACATCATTCCATCATCGTGAATTTTAAAGTGCAAATGTGCGCGTGTAATGTTTTCTTCTGACCGGCGATGTTTAGCTGAAAGGGAAACGCAGTCTGCTAATCATATGGCCAGCTTTCACGTGACTGATATACTTGCAGTCATGTGGCTGGATGTTAAAATGAAACCGCTGACGCTTTTAAACACTCGAAAAGGCTGTTTTTCTACCTTAGGTGTTGTGAAAGAATGGTTGTCGAGCTTCAATTGCCGCTTGCTTGTGTTTTCATAAAAACATACCTCCAGGGGGCGCGTGGTGGCTCAGAAAGGCAAATACTCCGATTAGCTTGAATTTAAAGTTAATTGTGGTCTACAAAGTATAACGTTTTAAATGTTTATTTTATTTTATTTTAAGGATTGACAGATGTAATTACGTCAATGCAATTACATTACACTGCATTCCGTTACAAACAATTAAAGAGAACGGTGATTGGTCCAGACTGAGCAACGTTGAGAAAAGTAACACTTGTCATATGTCAATGCTCAACTTAATATAGAATTTAGTTAAACTGTTAGAAAAAGTACTTACATTTCAATTATCATTGTGATAGTAATTTTAAAATACTGAACGATATTTTTTTGTATCTTGTGAACAACAACAAAAAATATGTTACACAGGTTTGGGTTCACCCAGAAAAAAATATTAAAATATTATTTAATCAAACTTCACTTGTCACAAACCTGTTTGAGTTTGCTTTTGCATTTGAAAAAAAAAAATTATTTGAAAAAATATTTGAAAATAAAAAACCTAACCATTGACTTCTATAGTATTTATCTTAAAAAAGGGACATGCTTAATGCCCTCTGTTATTTTCTTAGCATTTAATGCATTGCATTCCTTAACATTGCTAGTTAACATGAAATTTATGAACTATAATCAATGAATTAAAATGTCATTCCATAATATCATTAGAAATGCCACAATGTAAAAATACACTTAAAACAAATTAGAAAAAAAAAACTGTTAAACTCTTGTAACTAAGTAAACAGCTACTGTTAAAACGTTTGTTAAACTGAAATACTTTGCAGTTTCATTTCAGTTGTTTTTTCTTTTCATTTGCACAAGAATACAAAAATATTTGAAAGAATAAAATAAAGTTTAACAAAATAAGCCATAATTTACAAGAGACAAAAAAGCCCAAAGGGCTCATGTAGATACCTAAATAATAATAAAAAGCAATAACAAAACAATTTAACAAATGCTAAATTCCAATTTTAAGTGAGTAATACGCACAAAGAAAATTACTGAATTAAATATGAAAATTATGAATGAAATATATATACACAACCATAAAAATAGAATTAATCCATACAGAGTTCTTACAAAACAACATTAAAGTGATTCATTATGCATTTCATAAAACCTGTTAAAGAGGAACAATTTTTTATTATATGAGCTAAATTATTCCATACTTTAATACCCCAAAATCTAATCGAGTGATTCATTAGAATCGTGATTCATTATTTTGGCATTTTCATTTTTATGTATCAGTAAATATGGTAGATTTTTCCAGTCATAGGGAATTAGGTCTACAATACAATGAACAAGACCATGAACAACAGTTTGCAGAGCTCCACATGAGAACATTATAAGAAACTTAATATTTCAAATGATAAATTTGTACATAAAACCTGTTGAAATGTATACTTTTAATAATTTATTGGCTAGCTGTTAGCAGATGATTTAATTGCAAGTTATTTATAATTGGAGAACAATAGAAGCAATAAAACAAAACAAAAAAATGAGCAACAAGTGATAGTAATAACAGTATATATATTTTTTTTCATTTTATATTAAAAGAGGTAAAAAATGTCATTGGCAAATTTTCAGCATAATTACACCAGACATGCTACATGACGTTTCAGAAATGTAATTTGATGATAATTTAGTGTATTAAAAACAACTGAGCTGCCTAAAGTTTTTTTGTGGGAAATCAGGAATTGGTTTCATTGAATCTTTCATGAATCTTTCATGAATAGGAATATTTTATAAGTGTTCTTCATTAGCTCTAATCTACCTAAATCTTCTACTAATGCAGCTATTCCATATCAAATTCCATCATGTCTGTATATATGTTTTCACCAGTCCCTTTCTAAAGCGCTACACCTTTTTATTTTATAGTTTGCAGCGCCACCTTGTGGATACAAGCCATTAATACAGCCAAATCTCAGCCTGATTTTACAAGAAAACGTAAGTATTTTCGTTTTGGGTCATCAGGATATTTGTTGTTGTTGTTATTGTTTTTGCGTTGAAGGTGGCCAACTTTCTTAACAACAGCCAACTGACATTTATTGCTAAAAAAAGTAATGTGACAACAACATAATGTATTGCTTTACTGTGGGGAGAAAGACTTTTAATCTGTCATGATTTGGACCACAAAGCAACAAGTTGCAGTTGAGGCTTTGTGGTAGACCGTTTCTAATAGTTTGTCTAGAAATCCATTGGTTATGCAAAATGCTTGTTGCGGCACCTGTCTGGGTGGCTGGTCTCAGATGATCTTGGAGGTGAACATACTGTATGTGGAGGTCCTGGGCTGGTGTGTTTACATGTGGTCTGTAGTTGTGAGGGTATTTATGGATGTACTGTACTGTCAAATTCTACAAAATTCCTTTGGAGACAACTTGGGCTGGAGAAATTAACACTCAATTCACGGGCAACAGCTCTGGTGGACATTCCTGCAGTCAGCATGCCAACTGCACATTGCCTCAAAATTTGCGATATCAAGCAATACACCATTAAAGAGGAGGGAACAAACATTCCACAGGCCACAATTAACAACTTGATCAACTCTGAGAAGATGCTAGGTTCCACTGCGTTCGAAAAATGTTGGCTACCTTTTAATAACTTCACGTAAGACACTGGTATCACTAGTACGTAATAATATGCAATGAATACATACTAGAAACAAATTTTAAATGAGGGTGGGGGGGTTGTTGGATGGTGGGCAGGGCCGGATTAACCAATGGGCCTTAGAGGCCCAGAGGCCCGTGCGCACTTGGAGCCCCTGCGGGGGGAAAAAAAGACCAATTTCGGAGTGTCTTTTTAGGCTATTGCAAATAGTGCACCTAGTTGGAATAAGCTTTACAACCATCGTTGCCTGATTGACAGAAACTAGATGAGTAAAGAGCGAAGAGAATTACGTCGTCAGTGGCGTACCTCCTAAAGCGCACCGCAAAATCTTTTGATGTGATTGATCAACCCGGTTCGAATCCACCATCAGCTGAACTCCTGCAACTTTTTCTCTCCCCATAACATTTCAGATTGGAAATATATTTATTTTTAATAGGAAGGAAACATTTTGTAAAAAATAATGTACTTGTAATATAAAGTCACAAGTGCCTCTTCAAAAATTGAAAATAAGCGAGTAATGCTAGACGAGGTTTTTATAGTGAGTTTGGAATAATTAGATTGGCTTACTAATGATTATAGATGAGAGACCGGCAGCAATCAATCATATCACATGCTCCTCTCGAAATTAGTTTGTGAAACTTCGCTTATGCATTACTTTATTTTAATTGTGGTACCAAGATGATTTTTAGTTGTAGTGTGAATAAAAGTGCACCTTCTACATATGCCAGAAGAGTTTGTGATGAGCCCTTGTTCATCATATGACTTTCTCATCACCTGATTTTCAGTTTACAGTGTAGATTATACTGTAAAATAATGCATAGTGGAACAACAGACTTTCAGTGCTTTGTGTCTTTTTACAAAAGCAGTTTAAGGCCTATTTCTGCTTTCAATCCTTGCTCTTTCTTTCCCCCCACATGGGAGGAAGGAGAAAAGAAAAGCAGCTGCCTTTCCCAAGACACACAAAAGAGGGGTGGAAAAAACAGAGAGGGAAAAAGAAAAACGTGGGTGAAGATGAGTGGAGAGTGTAGCGGGAGAAGAAATCTTATCATTTCCAGTCCACAATGGGCTGGTTTCTATGACAGGACAGTTACAGATCTGTTTTATCTTATCGTGGCTTTGTGTGTGTGGTAATGGCCTTCCGCCTGTCAACTGGTCATTATGAAGGCTTTTGTCCCGTTGAGCGAGTGTGTGCTGTCCATCACGCAGCTCATTTCGCTTCACTCTTTGTTGTGCGCTCCAGTTCTTATTGCCGAGCCTAGTGGGAAAGTGTGGATGCTGTCTCTCTCCAGTGGTGATTTTCCTCTTTGTAATCCATCTGAAGCAGCAAATTGCAATTTTAGGGAGACGGGAGGGTGAAAAAAGAAGGTAAAAATCAATTTAATCCTAGGGAGTCCGGCAGGGAGAATGACTTGAGCCACCTGGAGAAATGATTGGTATTTTCGATTCTGTGCAGGACACAAAAGGGATCAGCTTTATTTGATCTCAATCACTCCATCTATTCTGAAATCATTTTTTCCTCCCGCGCTTTCACATCTGTACTGTATATATTATCCTAGATTTTCAACTCAGTCGCAATCATCGGTACAACTGGGTCTTTCATGGACTGTTTTTAATTTTGAGGATGGGCTCTTCTGTGTAACAGGCACCTGTTGGCTTTCTGTCCAACCAGTGCACATACTATACAGATGTGACAAAGAAACCAGTGTTTAATATATGCTCGTTCATTAATGTGCTTTTCCCAGAGATGGGTTGTGGCTGGAAGGGCATCCGCTGCATAAAAACTTGCTGGATAAGTTGGCGGTTCATTCCGCTGTGGCGACCCCGGATTAATAAAGGAACTAAGCCGACAAGAAAATGAATGAATGAATGATTAATGTGTTAAAATGCAGTGTTTTTTTAAACTGCAGTACAGAAAATGGTATCGTATGGAATAAAAATGATTGATTTTGTTCATAAAAACTAACTTTATAAGCTATTTTTGTATTTTAATTGAGTTTATGTTTTTATACTTTGTTTATTTTAGCTATGTTCAAAATAATAAGTCTCATGGAAGCCTCTAATGCATAGACTTCATTTTTACTAACTGAAAAATATTGTTTCTCACATTTAATATCATACGAATGAAAATCAAATCAATGGTATTATTAATTGGGTGATGTTATCCCTACTGATAAACATTTGCCTTGACTCTATCATGTACAGTAGCCAACATAGGCTCATTCTTTAAACGTAGCCCTACATCCATTTCTGCAGATCGTGAATTATGCAGCCAGAAACAGTGTTGTGCAGGTTACTTTCAAACTGTAATACATTATAGACTGTTACTTACCTTACAAAACTACTGTCTCAGAATTGTGATATGTTACATTACTCTTATATTACTTTTTAGTTACTTTC